GTCAACTACTTGGCTACTTTTAGGCAAAATGTAGTTCGCTATAACTACAACTACTGTTTTAAAAAAGTAGTCAAAAACTACTGGCTACTTGAAAATTGTAGTTCGCTACAGTAGCGAACTACAACTACTTCGCTACTACCCACTCTTGTATATAATATGTGTATATGGGGGTGGTTTTAGCCAGTCATATGATGATATAAAAACATGAGAATGGTCAGATTGGTAGCAAATGGATGCGACTTAAAATATCCTTTATACTGTAAATTGTCAAAGAAATAAAGCCTAAATACACACTGATTCACATTATTGTTAGACTTGCTTGTTTCTATGTCATTTACTTCGTTGAACTCGCCCTATATTGTACATGCATCATCGCTATTAAAATTGAAAGATAAATTACAGCAAATTCCAAGTTTATTTGCGAGCTGTTTATAATACGGAATTTATTAAGCTCATTGATGTAAAGCTTTAATAATAATCCACTGTAAGTAAAAAAATACAGTGGACTTACAAATTCATAAATATTATAAAACCATCTATATTACAATAAAAATTTGTATTTTTAAAAGGTTCAGTTGCCAAAGGCACAGACGACGATTATGTTCTTCAGTTCAGGGAATAATGCAACCTACATTCAGCCTAAATTTACAGAACCGTCTATTACAGTAGTAATTTAAAGTTTATTATTAAAAAGTTTAACTGCACGAGGCATAAACGATGATTTATGTCTTTCGGTTCTGGAAATAATGTGACCTACATTAGAACCTCTTTCTTTAGTTCTGGTGGAATAGTCATGCTTCTGTGCAATAGGGACAAGGTGGTGACAGGGATGGTTTACGTCCTGAGTAATTGCCTCCATTTCTCGAAGAGTTAGCTTATCTCTTCTCTCACTAAGCGGGGGAAGTGTATCGACCGGTAAACCAATAATACGTAAGCTTCTCCTTTGAATACGCTCAAGGTCGTTCACTAAATAGTGAGGTAGGCCACCCCAAACTGGTGCGGCATATTCAAGCTGTGGACGAATTTTGGTGCAGTAAGTTGCCATTCCTACTTCAGTAGGAAGGTGAGCCTTCCTGGACTGCCTTAGATGACACAGTCTCCTGTTTCCCTTACGAGTAATTTCTTTGATGTGAGAATTCCATTTCATGTTACTTTGACAGCTAACACCAAGTAACTTGAATGAATTAACTCTTTCGATCATAACATCCCCGGTATAAAGATTGGGAGGCTGTGGGATAGATTTCCCAAAGCAAATCCACATATCCTTCGTTTTCTTTGCGTTCAACTTCATTCTATTACCGTTTGACCAATTCTGAACGGAGTCTAAGACTTTCTGCATGTTGCTACACTCTCCCTTCATGATGCATTC